GGGTATCAACTGACACACTTTGCCACTTTGTGGGAACCATTCGGCACTGGCAGCTATTATCATGAAAAATTGCGATTATAACCTTGTCTTAATTGTTAAATTTGGGAAAGTTCGCTGCTCGATCGACCTTGCTTACTTTCGTTAAATTCTTTTAGCTGAATTTTTACCATTTTAATTTCGCAAAAAGCAATTCGAAGATGCACGTACGCTTAGCGGACCTATACAGTCCAATCTTTTCTCACATTCTCTGAAGACCAGGTTTAAATTGTTACCAAGTGGACTTTACTTGAAGCTTAAACTTTTTGACAACGGTAAATTAATTACATGGTAAATGGTTTGAACCCAGAAATATCAGCAGCCCGTGTATGGTGTGATCGTATCCGTCTGGGTGAGGGTAGTACTGAAATAAACTGTTGTTGGTGAAGTTGATGAAGTCCCCGACAATACGAACAACAGTGCATTGATTCATCGACATATTGACCGATTCAGTCTTGTCGTATAGACAAAACAAGGGAAACTTTACTTACTTTATGATAGGAGATTCCTATAAGAAGTTTTAAATTACTTGCTGATCCAATTTCAGCCGTAAGGAAAATATATCTTTGCCGTGTATTCTAACCGCTATTTCGACGCAAAAAAAATATAGCCTTATAATTAATCAGTTTGCGCAAAAACAAAAACAAAACACACAAAAAACAACCCCCCATAAAAAAGAAAGCAGAAAAAAATTCAAAAAACCTAATAAAAGAAATATTTGCCGTCGAATTAGACGGAAAAATCATAGAAAATGGCCATTTATACTGAGCTTTGCGGATAATCATGAGAGACAAGTATAGTCTAAACAAATCTAACGTTACAGAAAAAATATTTCTAGAATAGCCCCTGAATGAATTCTGTTGTCTGAGATGACTTCAAACAGCACCGTGTTAAGATAGCATGAACCAGAAGAAGACTGCATGTAAAATACAGAGGCCGTGGATGTAAATTTTAAATTAAAGGTAATGAAGACAAAACGTTAGTTGAAGTCTGACTACGGTCGAGCTGTGTTTGCGATGGAGTGACAGTAAAACACACGTTACCGATCAAGTGAAAAATATCCTGGACACTAAAGAATGGTTTGAACGGATAGACCGTCCTCAAGTAGGGCCAGCTTCTCTTATTGTGCAATATTCTTACTACATGCATGCATGTCTTGGCTCATTCCCACGTTTTGATTTGGATCAAGGAAAACAATCAAAGTCAAAATATATTCAGTGGGCCTCTCGCGGCTTTCAACTAAAAGTTAAATTTTTCCTGCAGGCTTTTCATCGCATCGGTGCTCAATGTTTATTCTATACCCTTTCTTCAATGGCAAGTGCAAACACCTTGTACTTGCCTTAGCTTTTCAAAGGGACATTAAGGGGTTAATCTCTCTCAGTTTAAAATTAAATTAAGTTTCAAACTTTGTTAAGAAATTTTTTTTTTGTGAAAAATGATTGTATGCGGTCTTTTAGTGAATATCCATATGCTAAAAATACATATCAAGTATTACAACTGATAAAAAAAGAAAATCAATCCTTCTTTATGTAATGATTGATATAGAACCAAATTAAACCGCTTATTTTCCTCGCGGACTAATTTGCCTAGTGGAAGTGCCAGGGACATGGCACGCTATTTTGGTATCAGCTGACATTGAAAACACATAAACTTTGCCACTTTGTGGGAGCCATTCAACTTTCATAGTAATCAGCATGAAACACTGTGATTAATCTTGTCTGAAACAATTTGGGCCAATCATTTAGCTGGCCTTGAGCTAACTTTGTAGAATTTGCCAGTATAGAAAAGATGACAGCAATTCCAAGATCTACGTACGCTTAGCGGACCTGTGTAGTTTAATCGTTTCTCACATTCTTTTGAGACCATGCCAGGTTTAAAATAATACCAAGAAGACTTTTCTTGAAGCTTTAAACTTTGCGACAACAGTACATTTATTCATCGACATATTGAGTGATTCAATTGTGTCTTAGACAAAGCAAAGCAAACCGTTATATAACTCTTTAATTACCTCACACCTGGAGATTCTTAGAAGTTTCAAATTATTTGTTAATCCAATTCCAGCAGTAAACAGGGAAAAAAAATAGCCTTTTTATATATTCTTAGTGCTATTCCGACTCAAAAATATAGTCTTTTAATTACTCAGTGATTGCAAAGACAAAAAAACATAAACAAAAACTCCCAAAAAAAAAATACAAGAAAACAGTGAAAGACAGGTTTAGCATTCATCAAATATTTGCCCTCAAATCAGTGGGAAAATCATAGAAAATCGCCACTTATACTGAGCTTTGTGGGTATTCGTAAGAGACTAGTTCTGTGTAAACAAACATGGCATTGCGGAAAACATAATTTCTGGAATAGTCCCTGAATGAATTACGTTGTCTGAGAAGACTTCGACACCGCGTTTAGATAGCACGAACCAGAAGGACACTGTAAACTAACACAGAGGCCGTTATTAATGTAAACCTTGATTAGTAGCTATTTAATAGTTAAGCTGTTGTCAAGTTAGTCTACATTTTCTGGCAAACATAACACCTGATGATTACTGTCAGTCAGCTGTACGTACCAGCAGATCAAGACACACAAACTTGAGTGGGCCGAATTCGAAGCGTTTGGTTCTCACATGGTTCAGTTCTCTCACGTTAATTACCGAAAGTATCTGAAACTAATACGTACGGCTCTGAGTAGTAGAAATGTTTACGGAAAATCTCAAAGATTTTTCATGCAAGCTCACGGTAAAGGTTGCGTTGAATGCGTGGGTTTAAATCCAGCCGGTTGAGGGGCAAAGTTGACAAAGTAGCTAGCAATCTGAGAGTTTTCAGTACTTATATTTCTATAAATCGTTCTCAAAAGAATTCAATTCTGCCAGGGCTTTAACAAAAATGAAATTTTGAATAATATACTGACAACGCTCCCAATGCTGAAATTTGGATAAGGAATTTAATTTTTGTTCATTCGTTGTGGAAAGTGATCATACACACGTGCAATATGAATTGAGAGAATCAAGCTTTGTTCGAATCCAACCTGGAAACACAACATCGATATTAATGCCACTGATCCTTTGCAATAACCCAGATCAGGTGTCTGTGCGCATAAAATTAGAATAGAATTGATTTTACACGTACAGCCCATCTAGTTTTTCAAAACTGTCTCAAAAGAGCAATCAGGAAACTTTTCCATCTCACATTAACAGTTAATTTAATTATAAAGTTCAGGCTCAGCCCCCTAGATTGACTATCTTCAGTTTCTTGCAAGAGACATAATGACAAGAAGTTTGTCGATGTAACTGCTTTTTTTTGAGAGAACAGAACTCCCTGAATTGTTTTGTAGCAAGGTTTACTGAAACAGAAGACTGAACTTTCCAAGCTGAACTTGGGACCTGGGTCAGTGAAGACACCAAGGCCACAGCTGTAGTTGCTTTTTTTAACAAACGTATTGTGTATCCTTAAGAAAAACTTGCTCTGGGTTTCATGGTAATATTTGGACATTTTGAGAAATATTGCGAATCCTGCGGGAAAAACTTGGCTATATATTTTGGACATTTTGAGAAATATTGGGTATTCTAAGCGGAAAACTTGCACTTGCCGTGTTTGAAAAGTAAAATGTGGATATTTGGAGTAATTAAATGTTGGGCATCCTAAACGAAAAGCTTGCCGACTGGTTTCGAATAGTAACATTTTGTACTTTGTACGCCTCGACATAAATCAGTTGTTCAAAGAATCAATCAACAGCCGCAGCTACAATATATCTGAGATAAGTTACGTGGGCCAACATCATAACTTTTCAAATTACGATCAGAGGAAGTTGGCGTTGATGACAAGAAGGCGTTTTATTTCATTGATCGACATCTAGTATAAACGTAAAGCGCTTATAGACGACTGTGTGTTTAGATAAACTAAGTGTCACAAGCTGTGTGAAACATCTTAGCTCCTAATCTAGTTGAAAAGGAAAAATCGCACTGGTTATTCTCGCGTATTAGAACGTAAGCTGGCAGGAATTAGGCTCCTTAGCATTATGTGTTGTTTCTGCTGTGGTTAGACAAGGCGTCGCCGAATACAACACGCACGTACGCATCCCCGGGGGGGTACTCTACAAAGTTTTATACGGGGAGGTCCAACCCCTTACGGCTTTTGTGTACCATTTTGACAGAATAAGTACCCCTTTCGTATACCTTTAATTGAAAAAAGGTATCTTCTTCACATGCTTTCATAACCGGTCCGTATTATAAATAAATCACCAAAAAGGAAATCTTGTCACAGACACAAGGTGCGTCTGTTCGAAATATATAAATTAAAGGCCCTTTTAAATGACCAAATGACAGATTTCCCTACCCTTCCATATACGTCAACTTGTGAAATCCCTGCCCTTTTATATACCTGAAGCCTGAAAAAGGTATCCCTTTCGGGCGGAGTCTCCCCGTTTAGGCCATTAGAGGGAGAACCCCCCGGTACACAAATATACTGCCGCAATACAATGTGTGAGAACAGTGCGGCTGTCAGGTAGGAAAAGTATTTTCAGTGAAAAAGTATATTCAACACTTGAAAAATCGTTTATTATATTTGTTTCTGAATGTATTTATTATCAAAATAAATGATATAGGACTCTTTAAAATGATCAAAGTCCTGCTGTTTCTCTCTGAGATTAAAACACTGCTTTAAAATCGTACTTCTAAATCGCGTGATATTCTTAATTCTAACGATTATCCACCGGAATCTTCGCAAAGTGATTGACAGTGATATTTAAAAAAATCAAGTTCAAAATTGGATTGCCGAAAATTTCTGAAAGCGTTTAAACGCCATTAAAGTTAAATTGACGGAGTTATTATATTGTTGTATTTGACTTCTCCTTTGTGGAAACAAGGGAAGGCGATTAACTTCATTTGAATTTCAGATTCATTCAACATAGGAAATGGATTTCATCATACGACTTTCGGCGGTTTTCAGGTTGAGTAGTTTAGAATAGTTGTACTTTCTGATATACACAGTGTTTCAAGAGGTACAAACAAAAGTTATTTTTCCTCTTACGGCTTTTTCAGCAGTTGCTGGTTTAAGTTTAAACAGCTCTGATGTACATACAGGCAATGTTGTCAGTGTTTGTTTCTTTTCAGTGCGAATACGACAGAGAGTTGTAAATTCACACAGAAAGTTCAGTTCACTCTTAAGAATGACTCAGTTGTGAAACGTGTGATGAATATTTATTCCGTTCTTGCGTGAGTGGGCAGAATTTCAAGAGCTGGATTCAACTGGCTTTAGTTATCAGTCAATCTTTTTGTTCGTTTGAATATGAGTAATACGTCCAATTGTTCACGAGTGATTTACTTGCATAATGCCCTTTCTTGTCACGAGAAGAGAAATTTTTGCGGTTTAATCCGCGGCAGTTTGATTCCTCGAGCAAACTTTCATTGTTTTTCCTTTGTTTGCCTTTGGAGACTGTGGTCAAGTGCTGACATATTTCTTTCTTTGTGGGGTTGATCTTCCGAAGATAATTGGCTGAAGATAACAACAACTCTGTAATGTCACGCTAGCAGAGGAAACCACAGAAGACATTTGTTGACACTCCATAAAGTTATTGGAGCCACTTAAAAGAATTCGTGCGAACCCGGTTGTAGATTTGCGCCATTTACTCGGTATGAAAAGCAAACATGGTACAAATTATTGTCTGGGGCAGATGGTGTTCAATTGCACTCAATTAAAACCGTGGCGATGTTGGAGAGAATTTTAATAATGCGACCTTTCGAGAACATTGACGATAGCTAATAAAAGACTCTAAATTCCTTCCTGAATTAGCATTGCAATGATCTGTCACTATGGAGACGGTGTCAATTAGGTTGTCACATTTCCTGTCCGTTGGACGCCCTGTAGTGTAATTTTAATTCCCGGGGGACTTCATCAATTTCTTTCTGGTCATTCATCACACCAGACATACAGTTGGATTTCTAGAACGGATGAAGGGCATGCCTGGGTCGCTGTCCTTACCTTTTCAAATGTGTCGCATTCCTTCGATTTATTACTTTACAATTTAACCTATCTGAGATGAAGTTGTTGGATGAATTGACCATTAATCGGTAAGGACATTTCCCGGCTAAACAAATCACGAACGACTAATTGATTTCTACCTGTTATCATTCCTCGCTAATGTTTTCTCTACCGCTTCTTCTTGCCCAGGTAAAGAGCACGTGGATTGAGCACAGAATGAAGTTTCTCTCAGGACTTGTGGCATTGCTCATTTTATTTTGCGGTTCTGTGAATGTTTGTCATGGAACTCTCAAAGAAATTCCGAACAACAACACACAAACTTTCCGAAGTTTTGGCGACGATCGAGGGCGGCAGGGACGTCCTAATTCGGCAGTCGTGGACGTTGTTCCCACGTATTCACTGGAATATCGCTCGCCTAACAAGAAAGACATAAAATTCACAAGTGGAGGAATATATCAAGCAACTATTCCCGAAACAACTCATTTAGGGACGCGAGTTAAATGCGACTTAAAAATGGGTGTTTATGCCCACGAGGAAGAAAGCGAGGTTCAATTTATGATAACCAAGGGGAACGAAGGCGAGACATTCACAGTGAGCGCGAGGCGAGTCAAATCAGCGAAGGATTTCGTGTTCATGGATATTAAAACCAATAAAAGACTCAATCGTGAAAGCGTACGAGGAGGAAATTATCTGCTAACTGTTGAGGCTCAGGATCCAAGGACTTTAGCAGTTTTGGACACAACTGAGCTAAATGTGAGCGTTACGGACTTGAATGACAACAGACCCATATTTTCTCGCTCTTTTCAACATGTCACGATAGAAGAGGACATTCCTTTACACACATCCATCGCCCAAGTGGTTGCCACAGATGCCGACACTGGCCCGAATGGATGGCTCTATTTTTTCTTCAGCGAAAAATCGTCTTTCTTTGCTATAGACCCTGAGTCTGGAGTAGTGACTGTAGCGCGGACGTTGGCCGGCAAGAAAAGGAGAAGATACGAATTGCTCGTGATCGCGAAGGATCGTGCCTTGTGGCCTTCAAAACCGGCCTCGGCTAAAAACCACAATATTACCGTTACAGTGCGACCTGTAAACAGGTTTTCGCCGGAGATCAAAGTTAAGTCACAGCTTGAAAAGATTACTGAAGGAAAGACGGGTATGCGTATCGCCGTAATTCAAGTTTCCGATCAAGATAACGCAAACAGCGGCGAAATCAACAAGGTCCGGATTACATCAGGGAATGAAAATAGTAACTTTCGAGTAAAGCGCTCACAGGATGCGCTCGACGAGTACCTAATCGAGGTAATAAAACCACTGGATCGCGAGAAAGCTCCCAACGGTTTTGATGTGGTTTTGACGGCCTTTGATAAAGGTGTCCCGCCGCGGAATGGCACGGTTTCGTTCCATGTTTTGATTGAGGATGTCAACGACATGATACCAGCATTTAATCAGAGCGCATACACAGCCACGATTTCCGAACTGGCGCCCCCTCACTCTTCTGTGATGCGCGTGTTTGCAGTAGATGGGGACTCTGGTGAGAATGGCAGGGTTTATTACACTTTATCAGGAGTGGACAGTGATAAATTAATGATTGACCATAACACAGGTTTGATAACTACGAATAAATACCTGGACTATGAAACAAAACCTCGGCTGGAATTTGAAGTGCGATCTTTTGATGCTGCAGCTGTTGGCAGAAAGATGGCAAGTGTGAAAGTTTCAGTCGATATTGAGGATGCTAATGATTACGACCCAGTGTTCGACCAGCCTTCTTACTCCATAGAGATTTATGAAGACTTGACACCCGGGACAAAATTACTAGAATTGACAGCAAATGACCAAGACTCTGGCCAGAACGGGCAGATCCAGTACACAATCATAAACACAGAATCAGTCCCTTTTGCTATTGATTCTGAGACTGGAGAAATTACTGCGCTGACCACACTTGACAGAGATTCAGGGCTCCAAGAGCACATTACTTTAAGGGTGCGTGCATCAGACTTTGGAAAACCATTCCGAAGGGAATCTGAAACCTATGTACACATCCATATCAAAGTCTTCAATGATAATGAGCCTGTGTTTGAATACTCCATTTGCAAAATACAAGTTAATGAAGATGCACCTGCTGGAACTATTTTAGCTACTCTGACAGCTGTGGACGTTGATGTGGCAGCAACTGCTCCACTTGGCTATTCCATACAAACAGCTGGAAATGAAGATCAAACATTTAAGATAGATCCCACAAGTGGAGTGTTAAAGACTGACAAATCTCTTGAAGGTGGTAGGCAGGAGTTTATTCTTTACATCCTGGTGACTGACCCAACAAACGATGCAGCAGTAAGACTTGAAATCAAAGTTGTTTCAAAACAAGCTGCTGCTGGATTTTCCAATTATGTCAAAGCACAATGTCAGGTTAGTGCAGAGCATGCAAAGGCTGTGGAACAGATAAAGGAACGAGGAGAATTTAAACCTTCCCAAGCCTCTAATGATAAAGCACTGCCTAAGCCAGCTAATACTAACTCTCCAGAATTTGTGCCGCACAAGCCTGCAATTGATATCAGTGAAGATGTGGCTATTGGATCCGCAATCACAAAACTCTCTGCTAATGATAAAGATCAAGGCTTTAATGGAATGGTTTTGTACGCCATAGTCAGTGGTAATAGTGGAAGTTCGTTCAAAATAGATATGTACAGCGGAGAGCTTTGTATTGGATCATTATTGGACAGAGAAAAAATTACAAATTACACTTTGAACATAACTGCCTCTGACTGTGGATCTCCAGTCACAAAAACAGCCTTTACAATAGTCCATATCAATGTTTTGGATGTCAATGACAATGCGCCAATCTTCGAGAATGACTCATACGAGGTTACTTTACCTGAGAACATTACAATTGGTCAAACTGTTGTGCTCTTGAAGGCAACAGACTTGGATGACGGTGATAATGGAAGAGTTCGCTATCAACTTGTGAATGACTTTGGTGGTAAATTCAGGATAGACTCCAAATCAGGTCGACTCTCAGTAGCGTCAGCTCTTGATTATGAAGATCGTCCAAAATATCTCATTGAGGTGCAAGCATTTGATAACTCCAAAACATCACAGAAGATCACATCTGCCAAAGTCTTTCTAAATCTGATTGACATTAACGATAATGCACCTGCTATTGTCCCAAAGAGTTTTAATGTGTCCATTCCAGAAGACATTCCAGTCGAAAGCGTTGTAGCAGCAGTTTCTGCTGAAGATCCAGATACAGGTTTAGGTGGAGAAATTGAATTTTCCTTGGTGGGAAGCCCGAAGAAATTCAAGATCGATCCTGGAAGTGGTGTTATACGATTGCGTCGTCGAGTTGACTATGAACAGCAAGATGTTTACAACTTGACTGTTAAGATCAGCGACAAAGGAACGCCAGTTCTTACATCATATGCGAATGTAATCATTACCATTCTTGATGTAAATGAGAATAATGTTGCACCCAAGTTTAGTGGAGGAGACCTTCTGGAAGCCACTGTGTATGAGAACCAACCGGCGATGACCACTGTTATGCGTTTGAAAGCATCAGATGGCGACTCATGGTATATAAAGTATGCAATCATTGATGGAACAGGTGTTGACAAGTTTAGAGTAGATCCTGAAACTGCTGTCATCACAACCACTCAAGTCCTCCGTCGTGAAGAAGGTGATCACTACTGGCTTCATGTTCAGGCTAAAGATGGCGAGATGTATCCACTGCACACAAATGTTCCAATGTTGATCAAGGTACTGGCAGCTAATGATGACCCTCCCTACTTTAATCCTCCTGTTTATTACCCTTCAGTTAAAGAAAATGCTAAAGAAGGGGAGACTGTAGTTACCATCCAAGCTCACAATCCAAGTTCTGATGATTCTAGCTTGATGTACTCAATTACACAGGGAAATGAAGCTGGCAAGTTTGCTATTGATGTAAAGACTGGCCTCATTATAACCACTGCGGCTCTTGATCGAGAAGAGCAAGACTTCTATGAACTAACAGTTACTGTGTCTGATGGGAGCACTCCACCACAGACTGCGAGCATCACTTTTCCGGTCACAGTTACAGATGCAAATGACAATGATCCTATATTTTTGAAAACCAGTTATTTTGCTGTTGTCAAGGAGCAGAGTGCCTCCTTAACTCCTGTTGAAATCTTTAGAGTAGTAGCAATGGACAATGACATTGGCACCAATGCAGAACTTATTTACGGAATCCAGCTGCTAACAGAAAATAATGCTGGAAAAGTCACGATAAACCCTAAAACTGGTGTAATCTCTACAAGGCAGGCCTGGGTAGAAGGAGATTATATAGATTTTGAAGTCAATGTTACTGATGGTGGAACTCTTCAGAGGTCTGTTTCAGTGTACGTTAGTTTGGATTGTGAAGCAAAGAATTACCCAACATCAAACCCACCAGAGTTTGATAAGAAAAGTTACAAAGAGTCCCTTGAAGAAGATGCTGCTGTTGGAACAACTGTTGTAGTAGTTTCTGCATTTGACCTTGATGATGGTGATGTTCTGACTTATTCCATCAGTGCGGGAAACACTGGGAACAAATTCCAAATCGATAGTGATTTGGGTGAGGTTACACTTGTCGGAAAGCTTGATCGTGAGGAAGTGAGTTCCTTTATCCTGACCATCCAGGTGTCTGATGATTACAATGTTGACGAGGCAACTTTGATTATAAATATCCTGGATGTGAATGACAATTCACCACAGCCTGTCATGACAGAGTACCAAGCCCATATCTCTGAGGATGCTAAGCCTGGGACTTTACTGACCAAAGTTCAAGGTAAGGTTGATTAGCATGTTATTTCTCCCTACAATACTTACATTGTCAAGTAGGTAAATTAGGACAAAAGAGGAAATCATCAACTACACATTTATTTATTGTGTTGATGCAAATCGAAATTCTCAAAGCTGACATTCAAGAATGCACAGGAATGTGAATGGTCCGAACTGATGCTCAAAATTTGGTTCAGTAAAAGAGTTGATGACTGTTTCAATATTAATAATGGGAAATAGCTACAATCTTGGACAATTTAAGTGAAGAATTAAGACCAGCCCTCCCCCCATTTCAGATTGCACATTTTGGGTTTAGTGCCAGTTCATCATAGATTAAAAGGGAGGTGTCGTTTTATTTTTTATTTTCTTCTGACTGAGATGGTACTCTTGGACAATTTAAGTGAAAAATTAAGACCACCCCTCCCCCCATTTCAGTGATGGAAAAATTGCACATTTTGGGTTTAGCACCAGTTCATGATAGATTAGGTGGAGAAGTGGTTTCATTTCGTACTTTGTTCTGACCAAGGTTGTAGATGGATGTTATCATTTGAAGTCAGCACTCTCCTGAAAACCAGACTTGTCTGCTACATTGTATCTTGGTAAACAAATTAAGCCACCGAGGGTGTCACATTTGACTTAATGTCTTACAAACAATTTTAAACACCAGCAAAAAAGTAAGCATTCTTTTTTAAAAATTCTTTCTGTAACAAATTTGAGTCAGTTAGTCATTAGAACTAATAACCAAATTTTCCTAAGGTGGATACAAAACAATTTATAAAAGATAGTACAGAGAGTTAAATTTTGATCTCAATATTGTTTACAGCAATTGATCCAGACGAGGGCGTCAATGGAGCAGTAAACTATGCCATTGTTGGTTCAGTGAAACAGAAATCCCGATCACTGTTCAAGATACAAAGTTCCACAGGCAGAATAAAGACTATCAAGGCTTTGGACCATGAAGATATGAAGGAGCATACCCTGATAATCAAAGCCACAGACCAGGGGGAACCCAAGAGAGAAAGTCTCTTTTCTATCGTAATTGCTGTTGATGACGTCAATGACCACAAACCAGTCTTCCTGAGATCGGAGTTTAAGGCTGAAGTCCATGTTGATGCTTCTCTAGGCACATCCATCCTTAAAGTGTTTGCTGTAGATGGTGATGATGGTACAAATGCTGTACTGAAGTTTTCCATGAAGGGCGGTAACACAAATGATGCATTCTATATTGATCAGAATTCTGGGGTTATTCAAGTGGCCGCAAAATTAAGCAGCAGCATTAAAAAGTATTATCTTCAAGTGCAGGTGTCAGACAGCGGAACCCCAGCTGAGACTGCAGAAACTGAAGTACAGGTAAGCCAACAATGCTTTTGAGTGATGCTGATGCTACTGATCCAGAATAAGTTATTGATGTAAAGTTATTTAATATCAGTCCTTCTCACTGAAGGTGCGGCTGCCTCATGGTTAGTGTGTTTGCCTCCTGCTCAGGCTGTCCGGGTTTGAGCCCTGGCCAGAGACATTGTCTTGTGTTCTTGGGCAAGACAATTTACTCTCACATTGCCTCTCTCCATACAGGTGTATAAATGGGTAGCGGCAAATTTAATGCTGTGGTGGTAGAAATACTCCCTAGTCCCTTAATGCTCCTGAAACCAGGGATAAGTGCCAGACTGATGGGCCACTCTACCTTACCTGACCTTCTCAGTTCTGAGCAACAGTTTGGCAACAGAGACATTAGTGACATTAGTTCCCTATTACTGGTGGAGTAATATGATCAGTTCTTTGATTAGGAGCTTATGACAATGAAAACTGTAATTTCACCAATTTTAGTCCACTGGCCAGTAAGTGTGAGATTCTAAGGAAGTTTGATGTTTGGAAGAGGTTCCTCTCCCCTACATGTAACTGCTTTCTTATGACAAAGCTCAAGTTATAAATTCTCCTAACTAATATTATAAGTACTGCCATTTAACTTCGTGTAGTTCTGAGCGTTTGAAAACAAATCAGCAGGATTTTCTAATATCCGTTTTGTTGAATGTAGCAGTTTGATTTTTAATCCCCATCACTCAGAACTGATCAGAACTAATCTTTTAAGGGGAAAGCGATATCTCCTAAGAAATAAAGGATTAACTAAAAACGTTTGGCTGAATTTTTCAGTTTAAAATTAGTACGATTTTGTAGTGTTACGTAATGTTTTTCTAAACTTAATTTTTTCTCCTTTAAATTCCTTATAGATTTTGGTGAGAGGGATAAAGAAGCCAGTTATGTTTGGACGTCCGTTGTACCAAGCTTCGATTGTAGAAAATATTCGTCCTGGTCATGCCATTATCAACGTTGTGTTCAATGGCACTATGGCTTCTTATGAGCTTATTCCACAGGATAATGCCTGTTGGAAGGATTTTCATGTCAACAGAAAATCTGGATTGGTGACGAACAAGGTTAGAATTCACCCTTGCTATTTATAAAATCAAAGCTTTGCAATAAAATCTGGAGGTATTTCTATCATGCTGGGAGCATTACCAAACTGTTCAAAACACAAGAAAGGATGTTACAGTACTTTATAGTTTCTGTATTTTTCTCGCGGAAGTTGGGGCGGGAAACTGTTTGATTAGTTGTTTATTCAAAAAAAAAAAAAAAANGAAAGTTTCAGTCGATATTGAGGATGCTAATGATTACGACCCAGTGTTCGACCAGCCTTCTTACTCCATAGAGATTTATGAAGACTTGACACCCGGGACAAAATTACTAGAATTGACAGCAAATGACCAAGACTCTGGCCAGAACGGGCAGATCCAGTACACAATCATAAACACAGAATCAGTCCCTTTTGCTATTGATTCTGAGACTGGAGAAATTACTGCGCTGACCACACTTGACAGAGATTCAGGGCTCCAAGAGCACATTACTTTAAGGGTGCGTGCATCAGACTTTGGAAAACCATTCCGAAGGGAATCTGAAACCTATGTACACATCCATATCAAAGTCTTCAATGATAATGAGCCTGTGTTTGAATACTCCATTTGCAAAATACAAGTTAATGAAGATGCACCTGCTGGAACTATTTTAGCTACTCTGACAGCTGTGGACGTTGATGTGGCAGCAACTGCTCCACTTGGCTATTCCATACAAACAGCTGGAAATGAAGATCAAACATTTAAGATAGATCCCACAAGTGGAGTGTTAAAGACTGACAAATCTCTTGAAGGTGGTAGGCAGGAGTTTATTCTTTACATCCTGGTGACTGACCCAACAAACGATGCAGCAGTAAGACTTGAAATCAAAGTTGTTTCAAAACAAGCTGCTGCTGGATTTTCCAATTATGTCAAAGCACAATGTCAGGTTAGTGCAGAGCATGCAAAGGCTGTGGAACAGATAAAGGAACGAGGAGAATTTAAACCTTCCCAAGCCTCTAATGATAAAGCACTGCCTAAGCCAGCTAATACTAACTCTCCAGAATTTGTGCCGCACAAGCCTGCAATTGATATCAGTGAAGATGTGGCTATTGGATCCGCAATCACAAAACTCTCTGCTAATGATAAAGATCAAGGCTTTAATGGAATGGTTTTGTACGCCATAGTCAGTGGTAATAGTGGAAGTTCGTTCAAAATAGATATGTACAGCGGAGAGCTTTGTATTGGATCATTATTGGACAGAGAAAAAATTACAAATTACACTTTGAACATAACTGCCTCTGACTGTGGATCTCCAGTCACAAAAACAGCCTTTACAATAGTCCATATCAATGTTTTGGATGTCAATGACAATGCGCCAATCTTCGAGAATGACTCATACGAGGTTACTTTACCTGAGAACATTACAATTGGTCAAACTGTTGTGCTCTTGAAGGCAACAGACTTGGATGACGGTGATAATGGAAGAGTTCGCTATCAACTTGTGAATGACTTTGGTGGTAAATTCAGGATAGACTCCAAATCAGGTCGACTCTCAGTAGCGTCAGCTCTTGATTATGAAGATCGTCCAAAATATCTCATTGAGGTGCAAGCATTTGATAACTCCAAAACATCACAGAAGATCACATCTGCCAAAGTCTTTCTAAATCTGATTGACATTAACGATAATGCACCTGCTATTGTCCCAAAGAGTTTTAATGTGTCCATTCCAGAAGACATTCCAGTCGAAAGCGTTGTAGCAGCAGTTTCTGCTGAAGATCCAGATACAGGTTTAGGTGGAGAAATTGAATTTTCCTTGGTGGGAAGCCCGAAGAAATTCAAGATCGATCCTGGAAGTGGTGTTATACGATTGCGTCGTCGAGTTGACTATGAACAGCAAGATGTTTACAACTTGACTGTTAAGATCAGCGACAAAGGAACGCCAGTTCTTACATCATATGCGAATGTAATCATTACCATTCTTGATGTAAATGAGAATAATGTTGCACCCAAGTTTAGTGGAGGAGACCTTCTGGAAGCCACTGTGTATGAGAACCAACCGGCGATGACCACTGTTATGCGTTTGAAAGCATCAGATGGCGACTCATGGTATATAAAGTATGCAATCATTGATGGAACAGGTGTTGACAAGTTTAGAGTAGATCCTGAAACTGCTGTCATCACAACCACTCAAGTCCTCCGTCGTGAAGAAGGTGATCACTACTGGCTTCATGTTCAGGCTAAAGATGGCGAGATGTATCCACTGCACACAAATGTTCCAATGTTGATCAAGGTACTGGCAGCTAATGATGACCCTCCCTACTTTAATCCTCCTGTTTATTACCCTTCAGTTAAAGAAAATGCTAAAGAAGGGGAGACTGTAGTTACCATCCAAGCTCACAATCCAAGTTCTGATGATTCTAGCTTGATGTACTCAATTACACAGGGAAATGAAGCTGGCAAGTTTGCTATTGATGTAAAGACTGGCCTCATTATAACCACTGCGGCTCTTGATCGAGAAGAGCAAGACTTCTATGAACTAACAGTTACTGTGTCTGATGGGAGCACTCCACCACAGACTGCGAGCATCACTTTTCCGGTCACAGTTACAGATGCAAATGACAATGATCCTATATTTTTGAAAACCAGTTATTTTGCTGTTGTCAAGGAGCAGAGTGCCTCCTTAACTCCTGTTGAAATCTTTAGAGTAGTAGCAATGGACAATGACATTGGCACCAATGCAGAACTTATTTACGGAATCCAGCTGCTAACAGAAAATAATGCTGGAAAAGTCACGATAAACCCTAAAACTGGTGTAATCTCTACAAGGCAGGCCTGGGTAGAAGGAGATTATATAGATTTTGAAGTCAATGTTACTGATGGTGGAACTCTTCAGAGGTCTGTTTCAGTGTACGTTAGTTTGGATTGTGAAGCAAAGAATTACCCAACATCAAACCCACCAGAGTTTGATAAGAAAAGTTACAAAGAGTCCCTTGAAGAAGATGCTGCTGTTGGAACAACTGTTGTAGTAGTTTCTGCATTTGACCTTGATGATGGTGATGTTCTGACTTATTCCATCAGTGCGGGAAACACTGGGAACAAATTCCAAATCGATAGTGATTTGGGTGAGGTTACACTTGTCGGAAAGCTTGATCGTGAGGAAGTGAGTTCCTTTATCCTGACCATCCAGGTGTCTGATGATTACAATGTTGACGAGGCAACTTTGATTATAAATATCCTGGATGTGAATGACAATTCACCACAGCCTGTCATGACAGAGTACCAAGCCCATATCTCTGAGGATGCTAAGCCTGGGACTTTACTGACCAAAGTTCAAGGTAAGGTTGATTAGCATGTTATTTCTCCCTACAATACTTACATTGTCAAGTAGGTAAATTAGGACAAAAGAGGAAATCATCAACTACACATTTATTTATTGTGTTGATGCAAATCGAAATTCTCAAAGCTGACATTCAAGAATGCACAGGAATGTGAATGGTCCGAACTGATGCTCAAAATTTGGTTCAGTAAAAGAGTTGATGACTGTTTCAATATTAATAATGGGAAATAGCTACAATCTTGGACAATTTAAGTGAAGAATTAAGACCAGCCCTCCCCCCATTTCAGATTGCACATTTTGGGTTTAGTGCCAGTTCATCATAGATTAAAAGGGAGGTGTCGTTTTATTTTTTATTTTCTTCTGACTGAGATGGTACTCTTGGACAATTTAAGTGAAAAATTAAGACCACCCCTCCCCCCATTTCAGTGATGGAAAAATTGCACATTTTGGGTTTAGCACCAGTTCATGATAGATTAGGTGGAGAAGTGGTTTCATTTCGTACTTTGTTCTGACCAAGGTTGTAGATGGATGTTATCATTTGAAGTCAGCACTCTCCTGAAAACCAGACTTGTCTGCTACATTGTATCTTGGTAAACAAATTAAGCCACCGAGGGTGTCACATTTGACTTAATGTCTTACAAACAATTTTAAACACCAGCAAAAAAGTAAGCATTCTTTTTTAAAAATTCTTTCTGTAACAAATTTGAGTCAGTTAGTCATTAGAACTAATAACCAAATTTTCCTAAGGTGGATACAAAACAATTTATAAAAGATAGTACAGAGAGTTAAATTTTGATCTCAATATTGTTTACAGCAATTGATCCAGACGAGGGCGTCAATGGAGCAGTAAACTATGCCATTGTTGGTTCAGTGAAACAGAAATCCCGATCACTGTTCAAGATACAAAGTTCCACAGGCAGAATAAAGACTATCAAGGCTTTGGACCATGAAGATATGAAGGAGCATACCCTGATAATCAAAGCCACAGACCAGGGGGAACCCAAGAGAGAAAGTCTCTTTTCTATCGTAATTGCTGTTGATGACGTCAATGACCACAAACCAGTCTTCCTGAGATCGGAGTTTAAGGCTGAAGTCCATGTTGATGCTTCTCTAGGCACATCCATCCTTAAAGTGTTTGCTGTAGATGGTGATGATGGTACAAATGCTGTACTGAAGTTTTCCATGAAGGGCGGTAACACAAATGATGCATTCTATATTGATCAGAATTCTGGGGTTATTCAAGTGGCCGCAAAATTAAGCAGCAGCATTAAAAAGTATTATCTTCAAGTGCAGGTGTCAGACAGCGGAACCCCAGCTGAGACTGCAGAAACTGAAGTACAGGTAAGCCAACAATGCTTTTGAGTGATGCTGATGCTACTGATCCAGAATAAGTTATTGATGTAAAGTTATTTAATATCAGTCCTTCTCACTGAAGGTGCGGCTGCCTCATGGTTAGTGTGTTTGCCTCCTGCTCAGGCTGTCCGGGTTTGAGCCCTGGCCAGAGACATTGTCTTGTGTTCTTGGGCAAGACAATTTACTCTCACATTGCCTCTCTCCATACAGGTGTATAAATGGGTAGCGGCAAATTTAATGCTGTGGTGGTAGAAATACTCCCTAGTCCCTTAATGCTCCTGAAACCAGGGATAAGTGCCAGACTGATGGGCCACTCTACCTTACCTGACCTTCTCAGTTCTGAGCAACAGTTTGGCAACAGAGACATTAGTGACATTAGTTCCCTATTACTGGTGGAGTAATATGATCAGTTCTTTGATTAGGAGCTTATGACAATGAAAACTGTAATTTCACCAATTTTAGTCCACTGGCCAGTAAGTGTGAGATTCTAAGGAAGTTTGATGTTTGGAAGAGGTTCCTCTCCCCTACATGTAACTGCTTTCTTATGACAAAGCTCAAGTTATAAATTCTCCTAACTAATATTATAAGTACTGCCATTTAACTTCGTGTAGTTCTGAGCGTTTGAAAACAAATCAGCAGGATTTTCTAATATCCGTTTTGTTGAATGTAGCAGTTTGATTTTTAATCCCCATCACTCAGAACTGATCAGAACTAATCTTTTAAGGGGAAAGCGATATCTCCTAAGAAATAAAGGATTAACTAAAAACGTTTGGCTGAATTTTTCAGTTTAAAATTAGTACGATTTTGTAGTGTTACGTAATGTTTTTCTAAACTTAATTTTTTCTCCTTTAAATTCCTTATAGATTTTGGTGAGAGGGATAAAGAAGCCAGTTATGTTTGGACGTCCGTTGTACCAAGCTTCGATTGTAGAAAATATTCGTCCTGGTCATGCCATTATCAACGTTGTGTTCAATGGCACTATGGCTTCTTATGAGCTTATTCCACAGGATAATGCCTGTTGGAAGGATTTTCATGTCAACAGAAAATCTGGATTGGTGACGAACAAGGTTAGAATTCACCCTTGCTATTTATAAAATCAAAGCTTTGCAATAAAATCTGGAGGTATTTCTATCATGCTGGGAGCATTACCAAACTGTTCAAAACACAAGAAAGGATGTTACAGTACTTTATAGTTTCTGTATTTTTCTCGCGGAAGTTGGGGCGGGAAACTGTTTGATTAGTTGTTTATTCAAAAAAAAAAAAAAAATTGTAGAAATTTTAGTGGAAATTCGTGTGGAAGCCATTCAATTGTTTACAAGTTTCTTATGACGCTCTGATGACAAGTGCAGTTCAATGGTTTTCTTGGGCGTGAAACCGAAAAACGTGAAGTTGAATAGCGCACTTCAGAGATTACCAAACTGGTTTCGTTTTTTCAGGGCAAAAATTTCGCAGTATTTACAAGAGTTTTGACATTTCTTAGTTCCTTCGTTTCTGCGTTCGCGTTAAGTCCAGAGTCCAGATTCACTCTGACACTCTCTCACTTTCGCATCTGTGACGTCAATCATACAATAATTCCTATTTTTGGAATGAACATCACCAAATATGGTTAGCCTTACATCTCTGTGAAAAAAGTACCTTTCAAGAAGACGTCATGTACATTTCCAAAATTATTCGGCGAATTTCGACTGTCAATAAGTGATAACATATTCGAATGAAAAGTCAGTAATTTTCCTTGAGGCATTAAAGACATGTAATCACTTAACTACAATGCAATTGTTAATAATTGTGACTATTTTTACCACATATTTTTTGTACTTCATTTATCAAAAAGTATGCTCGCTCTAGAAAGGTGAACTCTTATTCCTTGATGAAGAATTGTTCATATAATGATTTGCACATCCTGTGAGAAGTGATTTGTGTGCTGGGCTTGCTCCAGTAGTTTTTTTAACCTTTTGAAAAACGACGCAGAAATTGAGCGGCATACTTGAGATCTATGCGCCCAAACGTGCTCTCTCTCCAGGTGGAAGGGATGAAATTCAAGAAGTAATGTGATCTTAAACTAATTCTTTTAGAGCCGAAATTAAAAATAGTTAGTTTATTCTGCCTAAGCTGTTTGCTTATTTTTGTAAAGAAGAAATGTGTTTACAAACGACAGACACTCTTAACTGAAATATTTGAAAATTGCTCTTGTACAATGACTTCAAGCCTTTTCTATTGCATGTGTTTGTTCGTGCTGTGCCCAAACAGGACTTGCCTTGATTTTAGCTGCTAAACAGATGACACGTTGCTTTCTACAGATCTCCTTTTTAGTATTTTATAATAGTTAATGGGATTGTTTTGTCAAAACTCGACTTCATAGAGTTATTAAACTTCAAACGAGACGCGAAACCCTCAAGATTAAGTGGGATTATAATTATACACAGCAGAAAGTTGTTGTCGTTAGCGAGGATTTGTGAGTAATGAAAAGATTAAGTTGGATACGAATTCTGTGCAAATCGAATATTTGTCTGGTCTTCTCTGAGTGCTGTTCTGATGGTAGAAAAACTTTCAAAAGTTTGGCAAAAAAGCCTCCGTTATTTTCCGGAAATTCTCTTATTTTAGTTATTTCACCGTCTGTTGGATCTGCGTCGCGTGATCTCGTCAATTCCGTGATAAATTTTTAGCAATCCGGTGCCAAAGAAGTTATAATCCTGCATTTCTGTGATCCATTCATTCGTAGCGCGTTTAATGAAGGTTTTCAACGAAAACATTGTGTGTTATTCCTATAGTGTTATTTTTGCTGCCCACCAAGGCAGCGTTAAACGTTTGGCACTTTTACTGTGGCAAATAAATGGCTGTGAATCACAGTTTTTGTGCGCCCTATCAACTACCTCTTTCATCGCTCAAACATTGCCAGTGTCAAAGTTCATTAATTCCACGCGAAACGTCACGCATGGCGATCAAGAAGCGTCGAGGATATATTTCGAGTTTCTTGTGTCGAAATAGCAATCAATTTCGAGCAATGGAGAGAACGTCTTTGAAAAATGGCTATCCATAGTTTTCTTGCCACTGTAAGACACATTTTCGTCATCGCGTGACCAGGGAAACCTTGCGTTCCGCATGAAGGTTTCCGTTTGGTCGTTGTGAATTTTGTTGCACTTTGATATGGATTTTTGCGTTTGTTAATCTGCTTAAATGGAATTATACCTAGAGATTGCATAAATGTTTGTTTCAGTTAATTTTTGAGAGCCTGTTATGCCATATTATGGTTAGAAATTTGTGTACAAAGCTGTTTTATCACTTGTATCATTTTTCCGGTATCGCTTTTGGCTAGGTGATGATACAGATGAACACAATGACACGTTCTTTTCTGTTGTTGAATAATCAGTGCTAGTTTATTGAATAAGGGGCAGTTTGCGGTTTAACCGCAGGACTATACACGCATTCGATTTTCAAATGTCTTCAGAAGTAAATTGCTGAAGGCAAAAGGCATTTTACATTCACTTTTTCTTAACTTCAAATGCTCCAAACACTGTAATAAGATGAGGGTGAATTATTTTCCCTGTTGCAAGCCTTTTTCAAGAAGGTATTAAGATATTTGACCTTTTCTTTTCTGTGGAGGCACGGTGGCCTCATGGTTAGTGCGCTCGAATCCGCATCGGGTGATCCGGGTTCGAGTCTTGGCCAGGGACATTGTGTTGTGTTCTTGGGCAAGACACTTTACTCTCATAGTGCCTCTCTCCACCCAGGTGTATAAATAGGTTCTGACAAACGTAATGCTGGGGGTAGCCCTGCGATGAACTAGCATCCCATCCAGGGGGGAGTAAAAATACTCCTAGTCACTTCATGCTACAGAAACCGGAGATAAGGGTTACTTGGCTTTACCTACCTACTGTCTGCTAAAAGCTAAGAAACATCCAATAGAAAGGTTTTGCGATATGCAATTAGCAAAGGACAGCGAAGGAGGGGAGGGGTGGAGGAGAAGAGACAACTCCACCCTCTTGGATAAAACTATTATTAGACGATTTTTTTTACCCAAATTTCTCACTTAATTATAATTGCCATCCTTTTCAGTACCAAACCAAAGTGATTTTATTTCATTTTTTGTTCCCTGTTTTCAGAAACCCTTTGATGCCGAAGAGCTGAGCGAATGCAAGCTTCACATTCGAGGGATCAGCAGTGATGGGGAAGGACAGACCCAGCTAATTGTCAAGATAATCAACGAAAATGATCATGCACCAACATTTACCCAGGCACTGCACGTGGGTCGCGTGAAGGAAGGTTTGCCAGAAGACTCGGCCGTGATTGGTGGAGATGGCAAGGCACTTGTCATTCACGCCAGCGACGCTGACGTCAGCAACAGTGATTTGATGTTCGAGGTTGTTGGATGTACGGCGTTTACGATCGATTCTCAAACTGGGGCATTACTCACAACGGAGGTAAAGAGCATACAGTAAAGACCAGCGTGTAAGAACTTAAAATTTAAGAACCTGTTAGCCTAAAATCTCCCTGTTAAGCACCGGTCACATAAGAACCATTCTAGGCTAAAATCGCAATACAGCTTCTTATTTTCAAAACATGAGTTTTTTCAAATATAATACAGTTTATCACATGCGATAAAACAACAGGTAACAAAAACTAGCGAGAACTGTGGCAGTGTTTTAACACCACAATGCTGTAATATAAAGGCCACATCCATGAGCACAAGTTGTTTTTTTAAACAAAAATTAACAACCTGATTAAGAGCCTAGGTAGCTAATTTCACAGTAAACATCATTTATATAGGAACCTATGGAGCCTAACTTAAAAAAACCTAGGTTGTTATACGTTGGTTTTTTACTGTATTCCTTGTAGGCAGTTGCAGAATTTATTGTACAGCCACCGCGTTTTGGTTAGATCTCTGACGCGACCGTTATTGAACATCCATACACTTTTCTTTTCTTAATTTGCAGGCGTTGGATTTCGAATCAACAGCCTTCTACAAGTTCAAAGTCAAAGTTTCTGACGATGGAGAACCGAGCCTTGCTGCTTTCACTGATGTTGAAGTTTTTGTAGAGGACGTGAACGACCTCCCACCTGTGTTTGTTTATCCTGTCTTCTCTGCGATTTTGTACTTACCAACTTTCCCGGGCACTGAGGTCGTCAGAATCAGCGCGACTGATGGAGATACCTTGCCTCTCACAAATCTAACTTATTCTATCGTTTCACAATCTGTCTCCGCACCTGTGTCTCAGATGTTCGATATTTCTCCAACACTTGGTGTTATAACCGTGAAAAACGCGTCTCTCCTACACGAAGCTGTATATTACCTTACGGTTTCTGTTTCCGACGGTAACTTCACAGATCAAGCCACTGTCGACATCGACTGTAAGCCTCTGCCTGTCAGCGACTTGAAGTTCAGTCAGGGCAGATACAACACCTCTGTTCTGGAAGGAGTCAGCTCAGCAAGCGACATCGCTGAAGTTCGTGCAGTCGGTTATTCAATCGGGGAGACCATTACCTACTCAATCGTTACTCCGTCGGATTTCTTCGTCATTTCCGAAAGCACGGGTATTGTATCTACCTTGTCTGGCAGAGAATTTGACCGTGAGACTGTAGATCGATATGAAATCGTCGTACAAGCTAAGGACAGTGGAAAACCGATGCCGAGAGTTGCTCAGAGCGTGGTGCTAGTAGAAGTTGATGACGTGAATGACAATGCGCCGAAGTTCACCGAGGAGTCCTACTTCTTCGTCGTGAAGAAAAGCGTAGACGTCGGGGCCACTGTCGGAAAGGTCGAGGCACATGATGATGACATCAGCAACAATGGCGAAATCAAGTATGTGATTTGGTATAAGTGTTTATTTACGCGCTCTGATGTGACGCTTAAACGAGTCTATGTGAACATGACTAGGACGAATTCCGGGCCTTATTTAACAACAACTACCACATGTCTTTATTTGCCTTATACCAGCAATAGCCCATTTCCGAGTTGCCCTAAGCCTATCTATCCAAGCGAGGCCTGGTACTCAACCATTCATATGAAAATGAGTGTAATTTTCATGTGAATGAAATCTCATTTTCACATGAAAGGATGGGCACCAAGACTCGCTTTGAGAAAGAGGCTTAAGGTAACTTACAGAGTGGGTTTTGAAAAGAGTCGAAGATAATTGTGTGAATCCTCCATTACGGCTAACGTCGCGCAAGAAATAAGAACTTTGACTAATTTGCCAGCTAATATTACTTCGATATTTTTTTTGTGCTATTTTAATATCTACATGTACTATGCTTTTGAAACTTTTGACTATTTATACATTTTGCTTCTTAGCCCATATTTGGTTTCTATGAGGAATATTTTGAACAAACAGTATCCACTTCGTTTGCTAATATACTTATTTGCTTTGTGCTTTCTTTTCTCATGCAGATATTTACTCAAGGCGGGTGGTGACGGGCTCTTCAGATTGGAGCATACCACCGGAAAAATCAGAGTCGCGAGACTGTTGGATTACGTAGTCGTTCCCAAGGTCTTTACCCTTGAAATCGAAGCGCACGATAGAGGCCTGGTGCGGTTGAGCACTAAAGCGATTGTGAAGATCAAAGTGGTGGATAAAGAGACTCCGATATTTGACCAGTTGTCCTATGGTAGAGTACTGCGGGAGGATGTCAAAGTTGGACAGGAAGTCAGTCGAGTACAAGCTAGGAGTCCGGGAGGCGCTGGCATATTTTATACAATCGTGCAAGGGGATCCTCTGAATCAGTTCGCCATCGATTTGAAAACAGGTAAATGCTCTGATGACTGGCCTAAAACTTAAACTTAAGCTGTTAGTGAGACGACCATGGCCCGCATAAATATTATCAGCCAGTTAAACTTGAAGCCAAAAACATGAAATCTGTGGCAAACGCGGCGATGAAGATCAGAAAATGCCCGGTAGTGTTCTTTCCTGGTTAACAGCCCATCATATCAAGCAATATTTTCAAACCTTTTAATTTGTTTTTTTTTTT